TTTATACTCAATTATCCATTTTATCATTCTCACAGTCGCCTATAGACCACTAGTAATAGGATGCCATGAACTACAAGTTTTGTGACTTGGAACACATGTGCTATTGTGGTTAAGCTATCAAGGCCTTAAACGCCTTAATCTTATCAGAAGTTCCTATAAACAATTTCAAAAATAAAATAAAATAATATAGTAGTAGCTACCTCAGTGTCAACTCCATGAAATCAGCTAATAAGGATTTGAACAATTAGTATTGTTTTATATGTGCTCAGTTTCATAAATATTAAAAAGTCACTTTTATGTTCTAGAATAATGTCTGCTCTAAGTTGTGTGTTTTACTCAGATGCATTTGACACCGAGCAATTGCTGTGTGTGATGGAGAAATTGAAGCATGGGCAAGCTGTAGATATTCCAAAGTATGATTTTAAGAGTAACAAAAATGACGTATTCCCTCTTCGAAGGGTAATGTCTTATAGCATAGCGTTTTCCTCTTCTTTTTTTTTGTTTCACTTCAGCTTGTACTGTTGCATGGACATCAATCTAATTTCTTTTAAGAGTGTCAATTTATGTCATCCATCTGTTTGAACATTTTTTGTCTATGATCCAAACATGCCTCAAAGAGAAAACAAGGAAGAAAAACGAGAAAGATTAACATTCAAATGATTTGAAACATAGATACTCTTCCTGAAAGAGGGTTAGGTTAGACGTGTGGACAAGCTACTGCCTGTGGCTAATTTTATTTTTTGGATGCTGAATTATCTAATGTCACTAAACTATTTGACTTAAAATACTTGGTAGGTCAATCCTTCAGATGTTACAATTTTGGAAGGCATACTCATTTTTCATGATCCTCGTGTCCGAGATCTGATGAGTATGAAGATATTTGTAGATACAGGTTCTTTCCTCTCCTTTCTTTGATATATCTTTATGTTTCTTGTATTAGATTACTGCTTCTCATTATCTCATCCGGATTTTTTTATTACATGCATCTTCTTCTTTGCAATTGTTTCACCTAAAAATGATAAAACCAAATTTCAAACACTAATTGAATTTTTTGTTGCAGACCTTTATTTGTCTTGACCACATTAGATTTCTCGCGAAGAAAAAAAGAATCTAGTAGGAATAGTAGTATGCTACATGGATGTATGTGTAGAAGCACCAAATCTATATTGAGTCGGATTATTCGAGTTATTTTACTTATTTTTTTCACAGGGTTTCTTTTTCCAATTGTTGTCAGCTCTTCCTATTGTTCGATTTGCCGATTAGTCTTAATCACGAGGATATAGCTTCTTCTTCTTGTTCCATTCCATTTCTACAGACATCTATGGTGAATCTTCTACTTTTGTGGCTTCATAATTTGAAATTCAGTGCAGATGCTGATGTACGCCTTGCAAGGAGAATAAGACGCGATACTGTTGAAAAGAATAGAGATATTGCTACAATATTAGATCAGGTTAGCTGAGCTTTATATGATTATTGAAAGAATTTGTGAGCTTACTTTGCCGTTTTGTATGTTCCTATCTCTTTTACTTTTTGCTGTTATTGGTAGATCTGTTGTCAAGGTATCAAATTTTTTTTTGTATTCCCAACGTCCAACAAAATGCCATTTGTTATTAGAAAGAACAGATTGATGAATAATTTTCTTTGTCCTGTTTCTTTTCTCACTTCATGTCTGTGCATGCACCTTGATGTTGTTCTCGATGGAAGGTTCTAACATGACCTTTTCGAAACTGACAAGTTGCCCAAAATTTAGCATAATTCTTTTTGTAACTTTCTTTCTTTTCAAGAATAACGTAATGTAATATTTGTGCAGTATTCCAAGTTTGTCAAACCGGCTTTTGATGACTTCATTCTTCCAACAAAGAAGTATGCTGACGTTATCATTCCCCGGGGTGGAGACAACCATGTTGCAATCGATTTGATTGTGCAACATATTAGGACGAAACTTGGTCAACATGATCTTTGTAAAATATACCCTAACTTATATGTTATTCAATCCACTTTCCAGGTGCTATTTCCATCTTGTTCCTAGATATGTTCTAGTCCCATCTGTTTAAGCTTCATCGTGAAGTCATTTTCGTGTTCTTCAAGATCAAACTTTTATTTTCTTCTAAAAATTGTTATTTGTTTCATTTAGATACGTGGCATGCATACACTTATCCGTGATGCGCAGACGACTAAGCATGATTTCATATTTTATGCTGATAGATTGATTCGTTTGGTAAGTTTTTCTTTCTTACATGGTAATCAAGTTAAGTTTTTGACACGAGAAAGCCAAATCTTTGTTTCCCCTTATGTATGCCTCACTATGTCAGGTTGTTGAACATGGACTAGGACATCTGCCATTTACAGAAAAACAGGTGATCACTCCAACTGGTAAGTGCTATCCCCATGATGCAATACTCATGCCTTGTACTCAGAAGTATTTTGATTTCTTCGTTTATTGTAGCCTATTTGGTAAGGTCTGCTTATATAAGGCGTACGGGCCAGGCTAAGTGCTATTGTTGTCTCATTACAGTTACACGTGGAATTTTTTTCCAACTCTTCATATAGCATGTTGTGCTATCACTCACTACAAGACTGATATGCCATGATTGATGTGGAACAAGGCCCTCATGGACTAAAGCCAATATCATCATTTGATTCAGTTTTTTTTTAAAATCATGTTTATTCATAGACTTAACTATTCTTCATATCCAAGTTAGCCGTTTTCGAGCATGAAAAATATACTTAAATAAACCCACGTCTGTTGACCGCAGGATCTGTATACAGTGGTGTAGATTTCTGCAAGAGGTTATGTGGTGTCTCTGTAATTAGAAGGTAATTATTGTTTGTCTCGCTTGATATTTCTTCAATACAAGATTTCTATTCTTGTGTCTGCATATATCCTTAAATTGATGCATCATTTATGCGCTATTACTGAGAATAATTAAGCATAAGAAACGAGAGACTCTTAGTTTCTGAGAAACTTGTTTGTTTGACATTGGATGTGCAAAGCTTCATTCTCGAATTCTCAAGATGAATACATGTTAACCACTGAGAAGATCAAGATTTATAATGCTTAGAGTAAATGTCAGCTAAAAAGGTTTATATCAATGGGGATTCCTTTTTCTTTCTAGTGTGGGAAATCAATATGCAAAATATTTACATGTTTTGCAATCTAGACAATATTTAAATTTGACGTGTTAATCTTTTAAAATTAAATAAAAATATGTATTGTCAGGTCAGTCGAATTACATTTCAAGTAATTGGTGACAGTCGTAATTCATTCCGAATCAGCTGGTTTGATGTTGTTGAATGTATATGTTGTTTACCTAATCATCTTCCTTCGGTGTGTTGAAGCGTTTTTCTTTAATACCTTAGAAGTGACCATGGTTGCTTCTTTTCTGCCTTCAAAAGTAGATTTCGTGATTGCTATGTTCTCTAAGAATTTCTAATTATGCGCAGTGGAGAGAGCATGGAGAATGCCTTGCGTGCATGTTGTAAAGGTATCAAGATAGGCAAGATTCTTATCCACAGAGAGGGCGACAATGGCCAGCAGGTTAGCGATCTCTTTGTCCTTCCGAATCATTACATTGACATTTGTGTTCTTTCATTTTTTAATTTCTAATGCATTTTCTCATTAATGGCATGAACAATGTACAGCTGATATATGAAAAACTGCCAGAAGATATTGCACAAAGGCATGTCCTTTTGTTGGATCCTATCCTTGGCACAGGTTAGTCTATGGGGTTTGAATTAGCTCCTCCTGATCGTATTTCTCCCGAGATGAAAGAGAAGTTTGGCAATTTGTCTTTTCAGAGCTATCGTCCCAATTAAAAAACTCTTCTTGTGGTAGGCATGTCCCTGATAAAAAAAAATATAGTGAAATAACCTCCCCTATACTTTCCTCGAACCCTGCTACTATGAAGAATTTTCACTTCTTAAAATATCCTATAACGCCCTCGACATCACCATAACTTACGTGCACAAAAAAATTATATGCACTACATCATCCAGATTGTTAATTTTTTTCTTGACGAACGATTGCATAACTAAGCCTATTATGTAACAATCTGCAGGGAATTCAGCAGTTCAAGCTATTTCTTTACTGCTAAAAAAGGGAGTCCCAGAGTCCAACATTTTATTCCTTAATCTTATCTCAGTAAGCTTACTGGTTCATCCAATTTTTGGGTTTGATTCTCTTTAAATCCACCTTTCTACAAATATTCGATTGTTATAGTGCGTAAACAAGTAACAGCTTCTATTGCAACATAATTCTGAAATCATAACTAGTATTGTTCTTAAACTAGGCACCCCAAGGAGTACATGTGGTCTGTAAGCGTTTTCCAAGAATAAAGATTGTGACATCTGAGATAGAAATTGGTTTGAACGATGAATATCGTGTTATCCCTGGAATGGGGGAGTTTGGTGACAGGTATTTCGGCACAGATGATGACTGAACATTAATTGGTGGTCGCGTTCCATCTCTCAATCGCGAGAGAGGGATCATGATGTAGAGAAGGGAGTCAGTTGAGCATGATTGATCAATAATGTGTTCAAGCTTTTGTACATTTTAAACTTGTATTCAACTACAGTTACCCTGGAAATGCAATCTTCAAACTTATTGTATATTTGAGTAGCACTCAATTCAGTTCCATTATCCGGGAACGAGGTTACAACCCTGAAAGGTACAATCTCTTTTGGCCAACCATCAATAACGTTTTCAATGAAATTTCACAAGTGGAATCTGAGGAGGGTAGGATATACACAGAAAAACTGTAATCAAAGCAGGATAGAAATTGGTTTGGATTACGACTTCCACTGTCATTCATAATTCAGATGCATAAATTGAGAACTAGCCAACTCCTTCACAGTAGAAAGCTAAAATTGGGAAGGAGAAGGAAAAAAAGAAACTATGAAAATAATTGGAAAAAGAAGTGTATCTAATGGAAATATGTGTGTGATTAAAAAAAATTACATACTTGGAAGTAATATAATGAAAAATTGAAGTGCAGGTAAACTTGAAAATAAAACAAATTTCCTTTCATGCATCAAGTCTAAATTAACATCCAACCAACCATAGAACCAAATAATTCACCTTGAATTCCACTCCCTGAGCAAATCCATCAGCAGGAAAGCAAGGTTAATTTTGTGTCCAACAATATAATTAATTTCAAAGACAAATTTGAATGCCCAAAAAAATGTTTTGAGTATACAAATTAAGCCACAGATCTTAATTCTATGACAAAAAAGGGATAATAATCAACCCCCAAATAGATATCCGGCAGCTTGTTCTTCGTTGCCATCGAAAAACTTGAGAGCTTGTACTACTGCCTCCCTTCCAAAGCCTAACTCAACAAGCTTTGCAACTTTGGCCTCAAATTCAGGTCCCTGTAGATAAAATATCGACTCCAGATTTGAAATAGCACAGAAAATTTATGCAGACTGCCAAGGAACAAATGAATCTTATAATTTTACCTGTGTTAAGTTCCCACCAGCACTTCCTGTGGATTAAGACAAGGTTGAAACTATATGAAAATGCAATTCAGAAGAGAATAAAAATAGCTGAAGAAACAACCAAAAGTAAGAAGAAAGAGAATGAATGTCATGTTAACATGACTCTTCCTAGATCATATGAAGTAAATTATCTTAAAGAATCTTTGAATCCTTGGGTGCGGAGAAACAGTTCATATCACAGACAAAAAGTTGAAATGATCTAGGTGGAATATCAGAAATATATTTGGATATTGAAGCTAACCAGAAGGACTTCCTTTTGTAGGATCAGTCTTCTCCGTTGCTCCAGATGTTGCCTGATACAGCAAGGAAAAGAACCAAGTTCAGCACTGCTGCCTCGTTAAAAAAAATAATCAAGGAAACAGCACTGCTCACAGAAGGTCAAAAATTCTGATTTAAATATTTAGAGGAAAATGAACTATAACAAATTATGAAAGGGCTGCACAACCTTAAAGATATAGAAAGTGCATTGCACCATCTTAGAGCAAACTGGCTCAAACAACCCCAGGAGAAAAAAGAAAATTTTCTCCAGAATGTCATAATCATAAAAGGAAAGAGGCCACCCAAATCATTTTATCAACGATTTTCCATTAGTTTCATAATCAACTTTATCTTTTATGGCATAGAGTGCATATCACCACAAGTGCACTCAATTTGTACAACAATAGCTCTTGAAATAGGTTAAATTTTTTGATTATTTACTGCTCACATTAAACTACATGCAGCAACATGTAGAGCCCTACTCTCAATAAAGACACTTATTGTTGAGCCCTACTTCAACTTTTTTGATTATCTACTACTCACATTAAAGACACTAATGTTGAGTCCGGGAAAAAACATTGTATTAGAAACAAAACAAAAATGCCTTTACCTGAGCTCCTGAGCTCGAAGCCTCCTTGGTGTCCCTCTCATCGAGAAAATGACTGGGAATATCCTTCTCTGAAATTTGAAGTACACAAAACTTAGTAAAAGCTCAAAGGTAGTAGTATCCAGTACCAAAGTAACCAGACGCATCACCAACCATGTAGAAATGGTACAGCAACCTCCCCTCCGCCAACTCTCAGAACATTGTCCTTGAGATCAATCATGCACTGCAAAAGCTCATTACCATTAGCTTATAAGATGTATTGAAAAGAATGAAAAATGGAAAAGAGAAAGATGTTGCAAGCAGTGCAAGAAAGTAAACCTGGTGCTTGCGAAGCATATCAAGTCCGAAGAGAAATTCCATATTGGGAGAATCCAGCACCACAAAAGAACAAGGGTAGAATATTTTTCCAATCTGCCATAGTTAACAGTAGCAAATTAAAGTGAAACATGTTAGCAGGGCATCTCCTAGGAACTTATTATTAATTTGAAGGCAGCATATCCACGCAGCTTCTCATTTATTTGAAAGCTTTCATTTACTAAAATAAACGCCATGTGTCTGGTTGGTACAACTTAATCCTTATGTATTATGAGTAGAACAAGCAATCATCACCAGCTGATTACTGGGACAAGTCATCAGAGAAACTGATTTAAAGCAAAAAAGCAATAAGCTCAAACTACTTACAAGTTGCAACTGACGGATTATTAATTATTTGACTATTATGTATAGCTATATGTTACGCATAAAGGTTAGTGTGTACTGTGTAGCTTATTTAAAATTTAGACTGCTAGCCATCAAAAGGATAGTTAGCATCAGGCATCCAGATCATAAAATTGAACACTACTAAGACATAATGCACTACAGTAATAGAGAAACTGGAAGAATAGAACATGGAAAGCATTTGACAGCAGCCAAATGTAGTCATCCAGCAATCTATTTAATTTCTAGGCAGCAAGAGAAAATAGAAAGGACTCATTGGTAGAACAGCTACATCAATTATTTATGGTAAGGAATAGCTGCATCTGTTGTATACTCTCAATGCACTTGAAGTACAGACACAAGACTGAAGTAGCACATAAGCTCCAAGGACGTAACAAACCTTGATTGGAGCAACATGAATACGACCTAGTATCTCTGTTTGACCAACTCCACGAGCAATGCCCTTGTAGCGTGTGTCTAATAACCTCAACAATCTGCAAGGGAAGGGGTCAGCAGTTAGTTCACTAACCAGGGCTAGCTTATCCCTGGAATTTGGAAAAGAATAAGCAAGCAACAAACACTTGTTACATTTATTGCACATTATTCTACAGTAAATAAAACCAAAACCCTCAATGTCAAAGTGACTCATGTATTAGCCTATAAACTTCTACTGTTTGATAACCAAGAAATCCCCTAGGGTGAGGCACACGGTTTAAAACTCGGTGGATGATGGGTCCACCCATATACCCTAGACTTTTACTTATTAGTTATTCACTCAACCCTGCCATCAAGCTAATGAATACCTACTGGCTTATTAAGAAATTTTGAAGAGAGTTCTGAAATCTTATAAATTAGAAAATGGATATGAAAAAGTAACACTATAGTATAGGTGTGTAGTGTGTTCCATACTATAAGAGAGCTAATATGATTTTCAGAACTAAAAAAATCCAGAATAGCCTTGAGGCACCATAGCATGTCGATGAAAAGCATGCAGTCTTAGTGCCAGACAGTCTACAGCAGGAGTTGAAGATTTTGCATGCTGTGCTTCTATAATGCATGTTGAATTTTTAATTTGTCTATTATTATTCTTCTGTCATTCTAGAATATGAATTTTTGAACAACATAACTCAATTAAAAATTCAAAAAAAAGTAAAAACAAGAGGAACTCGTCTCTTCTCATCTCCCTGACTTTTTTCTGTAAGGTAAAAATTTATCTCTGACTAAAACTACTCATCAATTTATGAGTTCGCAATTTTTTTTTATTTTTTATAAAGAAAGGTATTATGCTTGTGTTATAATAATCATTTGGGCTAACAAAATATTACAAGGATCAAACAAGTTACTATCAACAACAGAGCACAGCCTAATAAGTCATACCCACAACGTTCTGCACAGCTTTTAGATATAATTGTTGACTGAGCTCCACTATCCACGAAAGCCTAAACCAAAAAGAAACAAAAAATCCCACTGAACCAAATGTAACAAGATGTATCAAAAGGATGGAACACATTCAAATCATAATCGCTACCTTTAGAGGATGACCATTTACTTCCATGTCAACATATAACATAACCTGAATAAGCCAAAAAGTTAACACAACTGCCATTAAAACTACAGAGAGAATCAATATGTGAAAGGCATAAGGTAGTTTTTCATACCACAGTTCCAAAAGCTTCAGGATTGTGTTCTAATGCAGCTTCCCAGTTTTCTTCAATTCCTTTCTGGAAAATAAGCAAAACATGGAAAATCTCTATCATAAATAGACCCAACTTCCATTACATATTGGAAATTTTTGCACTAATTGTAAAGACCTCACGGAATAAAGAGAAAACTACTTATAAGGCAGACGGAAAAATATTTGGCAAGACTTTATGATTATGCCATTTCACTGCAATAGACTAGGCGCAGAGAGTAATGATGATCCAGGAGGACTCCACAGACTCCAGCAATCAATCAATCAACTAGGTCCAGTCCCAAATTAGTTGGGATCAAACGATCGGCTGCACAAATCTTGACTATGTGAATCTTCTACATATGTTTTTTTTAGATGGGTGAATATTCTATATGTATAAATCAATCAAATCAACTACAAGTTCCACAGACAACAACAAGAAGTTCCTCAGACTGTCAAAAATTCAAAAAAAAGGCTACTGATGATTAGGTTGGTCGAATGATGATCCAACCAATATATCAATATTCAGCATACCAGAGCTGTTGGAAGAGATGCTCATAAGAAGGGGTTCAGTACTTGTTTAACGGCATTAGTTCATAATTAGAGTGACTCAGTATAAAAGCTACTTTAACATAGTCAAATCAATATTTGATCGAATAACAAATGTCCCAGTGAAGAAGTTAACCGCTTTACAGATATTTGTCTTTACATTTATCTATTACAGTGGTAGATCATGCTTAAATAGGAGCTAATTGTTTTTCCAGAAAAAACAGGGAAAGAGAAAAAGCACGGTTGTTTATGGTCCATTCAAGTTAAAATAACCATACTAAAATTAAAGATTGTAAATAAAGGAACTACGGATGCTAATAACTTGAAACAGCCTCATAAACACTGGCCAGTACACTTCAGTTTCAAAAAATTGTAACAATAAGGACGACATCAGATTGATGTGCCAACTAACCTGGCGAATTTGAGCTTCAATTTTCCTTTGTGCCTCGACATCGAATGGATCAGCATACAGCAGTGCCTATGATTCAACATGACATATATTAATCAATGAATATCAATCAACACTATGCCTCATTCCCAAATTAGTTGGGTCGGCTATATGAAACTTCTTTAGCTAGCCCGCTTAAAATGCGTACCTGTGTGGGCATGACCCACCCAAGGAAACAGAAATTTTACCAATCAAATATGGATAGAAAGTTAAACTTAGAAAAATAAGATCAAATGGTTGAAAAATATTGAGCAACCCTGCCTATGTAGTATAAGCCAGGGGCAAAGCTTCAGCTGGCAAAAACATAGGTGTAAAAACTGACCATATAGCTTTGGATAACACCTTCAAAGACTCTCCTAATGTCACATTCTTAGTAAATATTGCATGATAACCATGAATAGAATAAATGCTTACAGTTTGCGGCATAAAGGAATTTCAAAATTATACTCTTCTTTACAACCAATCACTAGCATTTAGTTCCTAGGCATCTTTTAGCAAGAAGTTATAAAGCAATCAACAATGGGACTTTAAAAAATGTGGATGACAAGTACATTAAAGTAAACAGAACAAAAGATGGCAAAATTAGCAATAGAAGCTCCTGACCATCTCCTCTTCTTGACGACGCCGTAGCTCTGATTTATGCTGATGACGCAAACGTAGAAGCTCTTGCAGTTTATTTAGGTCATTCCCAAGGACAGCTTGTGCTAACTGAGGATCATTCTGCAAGTTCAAACATCACAAACTCACGGGACCTATGCTATGAATTGATCTCAAACCAACCACAAGGTATATCGGAGGAGAACAAAGTAGATAGCATTCATGTTCACACCAGATTGATCCAAAAAAGTAACACAGTATAAGAGGAATCCATCAGAAAGCATATGATCCCTCTCAGAATCTGACTATCCTTCACTTTGCATGTAAGATCACAATGAAGTCATAATTAGCAATCATTTTTTTTCGATAAGGAAAAATAAATAATTACAATCATGTTAAAATCAGACTGATCCCACAAAATTACAAAGTACAATAGAAATCTACCAAATAAATATGAAACTTCCTTTCAAGTAAAACTAATCCCTCATTGGACCTATAAGATCGGGATGAAGTCATATAAAAGGGTAGTTTTTCTATTAATAATGCATCACATTGGAAATGTACAGATGTGAACAAGTTCAAAATCTCTGAGCAGGTACATGTGTTGGAAATAGCAATCTTGCACAAATGTAATATGCTTTTGGAACTGTATCTCTTTCTTAAACTGTTTTAGCAAAAGAAAATTGAAAGGAAATGGCAAACTTGCTCCACCTGAAAAAGTTGGGCCATCAAATTTGAATCATTTCGCAAGTGTTGTTGGAAAGCTGAAGGATTTACTGCAGATCCATCTTGTTTGAAGCTCAAGTCATTTGCAGGTGTACTGTTTGCATTTAATTAATTGTTAGCAGAAGATGAAGGAGAAGATGTATTTGCAGGATGAGGTAGAGTAAAGGGGAAAGCGTAACAACATGGGACACTAAACAGCCAATAGAATAACGAAACATAACTTAAGTGACATGAGCAGAAAACACACCTAGACTGGGATGCTGCACTAGACACCATCATCACCAAATCACCATCACCAACGCCTACAGCGCTCAGTTTGTCAGAATTCCTCATTTCCTTCCCATTGTACAGAAGCTGCTGCTGTTGCAGAGGCACTTGTGTCTGATCGTTCAACACACAAACACAAACCAATTATAAAAACTAGTGCTAACTGTGCCTCCATCACAATATATATCACAACTAAAACTTCATATATTTGAAGCGGAGCCTTGGCGCAACACTTAAAGTTGCTGACTGTGTCACCAAGGTCACAGTCACAGGCAGAAGAAACAACCTTTACAAAAATGCAAGGTAAAGGTTGCATAGCTACGACCCAATATGGTCCTGCCCTTCTCCGGACCCTACACATAGCAAGGGCTTAGTGAACCGAGCTGTCCAAAGTTTAAACTTTACATAATCCAATATTCCAAATTGTTTGACACCATTCCATTAACTATATTATACTACACAACTTTCACAACTTTGGAGAGCTCAAACTGCTTATATACTCATATTTTGAACTTTGACATAATGTTCAACTAACTTCAACTGTTCAAGCAAAAATTGAACTTTCAAGCACAAGCATAATCAGCATCTAATGTGTAAGTGAGACAACGAAGAATTCCAACTAACCTCAACTTCCAGCAAAGCTTTCAGGTTCTCTACCTGTCGTGCACATTGTCACAAACATATAGCAAGAAAAAATTTGAGATCCAAAAACACATATAGGGTTTTAAGTCAGCCATAAACAAATAGTTAAAAGGAATAAAAAGAAAGAGCTCAATGAGTGAATTACAGATTCGTCACGATCCACATCAAGAGTGACGATTTGTTCGTCAGTTGTCATTACAGTGATCTTCATCTTCCACAATTTCAACTAAAACCTGATTCGTTTATCGCGATGCTGATGAACAGATAGTTGAACGGAATTCGATGTCAATATCTCCGGCGAAATTCCTCCCTGCCGTTTCGTTTCTTATTGCCGAATTGAATTGCGGACTCCGACGAAGTCACCGGAGGAAGGACTTCTGAATCTTCCGGTGTCCGACGACTTTGGTTTACCGACGGCGACGAGAGACGATGTGAGAAGTGTTTGAATTTGGATGGTAATAATATTATCCGATTAACTTTTGGACTTCTTTACCAAGAAGCTTATAAGCTGATGTTATGTGTTGTTTAGTCTAAAATACAACTCTCAATATAATTAGGATTTAAATATTAAATAATTAATGTAATTTATTTTTTAATAACATCGAGTTTATAAAAAAATATTATTAATTATTAAAAAAATATATATGAAGATTAAGAATGATATTGACTAATGGTGGACGGGTGGTATTATAAGTAGTAGCTTATGATGATAAAAATTGTTTGTATTTGGTACTGATTGATGATGGTAGCTGAACGAAGATTGCTAGTTATGGTGAATGATGGTAATACATCATCGTGATGGTGAATAATGAAGGTGGTTGACGATATATAGTGATGACTGATAATGGTAATTGTTTGTACTTATTGGTGATTGTGGTAGTTGATGATGATGATTGTAAGACAAATGACAATGAATGAGAGTTATGAGGATTGTGGGTGAGAACGATGGTTGTGAGATGCCCACACATTTACTTGAGCAATTGCATCTATGTTACATCCGTCTTATGAACGTGGACATTCTCAACTTAGTTAGCACTTTGTTTTGTAGAATAATGTTGAACTAATTATTACTCCGTATAATTATATTTCAAGGTTTGGCTACACGTTTTTACAACATAATACCCTAGACGCAAACCTTAATTCCTCCCCTCCAAATACGATATGCAACATTCTCGTAAATTTTCTCATATTTTTGGATTATGAACACAAGATACTTGTAGCTTCATCTTTTGGGTATTTCTACTGTCTCATTTTTTATTTAAGCCTCGCATCATATGTTATTATACTTATCTTCCATTCGAGATACTCTTTTTAGTCTTACTTAACCTGTAACCTTCATATTTTTTAGGGTCATTATTTAAACTTGTAGACTGTCGTTAACTCCACCATGCGTCTCATCCATCAATACTATGTTTGTAAATGTGATTTGCAATTCATAATGTTTTTATGAGAAAATTTCAATAAATATACAATTAGCTAACTTACCTCACAAAAATTTAGTTAGAAAAGTTACATTACAAATCTTTCACCCAAAATACAATCCAATATTCAATATTATACATCCAATATACAAAATATTACAAAACTTTCATATGTATTTTTTTGCAAAAATATAACCATGTTTTATTTACATAAAGACAACCAAAAGTCAAATGAAGTATATACCAAAAGTAATAGAAAGTATACACTGACTATACAATATTGCAATGCCTATACATGAAATATTACTGAATATACATTATGATATACTTCAAATGACTTAACTATATGTGAAGTATACATTGACTATTCAATCTCGAAATTACCTCTAATCATTCCTAAATTTTAGATATGAAATTCTCTCGATATTTCAAAATATTTTAATATATAATTCGCTCGAAACGATTTACGTTTGTGGTATGTACGTTAATTTACGTAAACAACTCATTTGGTATAATCATATACTAATCTTATTTATTTATTTTTCATTTTATCTTTTATATATTATTTACTTTTTTTATAATTTAACTTTTGAGCAATTTTATTGAGGAATCACTCCCCTCTATATAGACAAGCAAAATGCAAACACAGATACTGATTGATCTCTTCTAAACCCCATCCATCGGAACCCTAGATCTTCCCCGTCCATAAATCACTGTATCCCAATCCCATTTTCCAGCTCTATATTTGCTCTAGCTTTGGGGAAAAAATGGTGTCATTGCTGAATTCGAAGTATTGGAGTAGATAGATCCTCAATAGAAGAATCCGTAATACCCAATTTTTTAATTTTTTTGTTGATGTATTAGTGAAAATATTTGATTTTTTGAACACCCATTATGGCCGATGGTAAGTTGGTTAAGCGTGCCAAGTACAAAACTTCAGTCAAGGTTCCTGGCGTCCCTGGCGTTTTGAAATTGGTATTTTCCTTTCCACCTCATTTGATTATTGGCATGTTACGTTATGATTGAGATGTATGATTGTTTCATATGCCCAAATTTGAAGAAAAAAACAGCAATAACAATGTAACAAACCTAGTGTAGTCTAGGTTTGGGGAGGGTAGAGCGTAGCTTGAGCCTGTTTGAAAAAAAAAAAAGCAATAACAATAACATTGATTATTAGTTTAGGCGAGCACAAGCTGGCCTGGACATTATGTTTATTAAAAAATAGATCCGAATTGATATAGACTATTATAGAGGATTCATATGACTGACATAAACTGTTCTGGGATTGGTACATAGTTGAGTGATTGAACAAATCACATAATATCAATGCAACTGATATGCCGAGCTGGTAGGAAGAGGTGGAAAAAGAGAGAACATCAACTGGTCTGTTAATTGATTGTAAACAAGTTTATAGGTAACGAGTACTTAGTGTTGGTGGGAGGTAGTAGGTACCCATTTAATTAGCTGAGGTGAACGAACTGGTTTGCCACAATGGTTCTAAAGGAAAATAGAGCCAAACTGATATAGAGGATTCATATGACTGACATCAGCTGGTTTGGGCTTGAGACATAGTTGATTGATTGAACAAATAACAATTACGGTGTTGCAAGTGATATGCTGAGCTCGTAGGAAGAGGTGGAAAAAGAGAGAACATCAAATGGTCTGTTTATTGACTGGTAAACAAGTTTAAAGAAGTATGTGAGATAAGTGAATCTTTTAGCAAAAGAGTATCTATTTATTCTACCCAGCAGAAGACTACTGCTTAAAACAGATGGTGTCCCGCATTTTATGTATCAGCATAATCTCCTTTACTAGTTCACAAATGGAGTAGAATGGATATTAAACATTCATAGAGTTGACCTCCATCACTACCAGTGTGCACTGAGGCATTATTGTTATTTTTGTTTGCATTAACGAAATGCAGTTTCGACAATAACAACTGTGCACATCCAATCTTAAGGATGGGGGTATGCATCACCAATGGATCAAAAGTGGAAAAGGGAACTGTTGGGCAACTGGTTAGGGGTTTTTTTTTCGGGGGGGGGGGGGGGGCTTGCTTCTAAAAAAA